TAAGAGGGCAAATGTAGATGATCAGATGATCAGGTGTGTGCCTATGGACTAAGTATTAATCCAGGCTAGACAAGGGCAGCAAAACATCCACGGATGCAGAAGATTTCTCTCAAAGCAGGGGGGGTGAGGTTCTGAGCCTCACCTCTGTTGATCCCCAAATTTAGAGGAGAAATTTTAAAGATCTATCGTGAATACACTTGAAGAATATACAAGGAAACTTGAATGTAATAAAAAGAAATAGAAGAATCAAATGTTTCATACATTATAGCTAGAAAAAATTAGTACTTGATATGTTCAAGTCTAATACACTGAAACTATAAAATATTGCTAAAAGCAACCAAAGAAGACCTAATAAGGGATATACTGTGTGCATGGATTGGAAATCTCAATATGATCAAAATGTCAAATTGCTCCAAATTTATCTATAGATTTAATGTAATCTCCATAAAAATCTCAGCAGGTTTTTAGAGAAGTTGACAACCTGATTCTAAAATGCAAAGGTCCTAGAACAACTAAAACAACCTTGAAAAAGAACAAAATTGGAGGATTTCAAGACTTGCTAAAAAATTACCACAATTAAGACACTGTGGAACTGGGCATATAAAGTGATATATACATGAATGGAATAAACTAGAGGTCTAGAAATATAGTAACATATATGGTCAATTGATTTCAATAAAATGTAGTATTTTTCACAAATTGTACAGGAAACCCTAGGTATCCATATGGGAAATAAAATGGACCTCCATCTTTACCTCATTCTATGCACAAAAAATGGATCACAGACTTAAATTTATAACCTCTAACTATAAAACTCCTAGAAGAAAACATAAGAGGAAATCTTCCCTATCTGGATTAAGTGCATATTTCTTAGACTAACAAAGCTCTAATCATACAACAAGAAAATGGACTTCAACAAAAGAAACTTCTCTTCAAAAGATACATGTATTCTTTTTTTATTGTTATATAACACATTATCCCAAATTAAACAGCTTAGAACAACACACACATTTATTAGCTCAATTTCCATGCATCAGGCATCTGTGTGCACAGTTGGGCTGAATCTGCTGCTCAGGGTCTCACAAGGCTATAAGCAACTTACTGGTCAATCTAGAGTCTCACCTGAAGGTTTAACTGGGGAAGGACCTCTTTCCAACCTTC